CTTATGACTAGAACTAGTCCCTCACATGAACCCATAAACTTCTTGAACCCTGGCTACTGAATGCAGCACGCGGAAACGCAAAGGCCGTCAGGGTAAGTCGTAAATATGTTCATAACTGAATCATATATACAATTTCATAATTCAAACATTTCATATGTCTTATTTATTAAATCTCACGGTCACTTTTCTCGTCAGGCGAACAGGGGAGGTTTCTGTTGAAACGCGCGTTCACATAACGGATGCATACCGTTGTTTTTGCTGACCATGCATTTCTGGTCATTTAGTTCCCCCATTCGCTTCAGCATTCAGATTAGACCTAACAAGACCGTGAGACACTGGACATTTAGGTGTGACCACAACGTAAGGCTTCAACCAAGACAACTCGCGGAGTGACCCGCGGCTGGGGTGGTCAGCGATGTTTGAAGGAGACGGAACGCGGGCCAACCACAACATGAACTGGTCCTCTTCTGGGTCCTCAAGACACAAGAGCATTTCCCTCCACTCAGGCTCTATTGAAGTGCCTTTCACGAGGACATCGAGAGCTGGCCAATTGTCAACAAACAAGATCACCCTTGACGAAGTGATGCGAGGCTTCCAATGAAGCAAAGAGACAATCCCGGCATAAAGCTCAACAAGACCTATCACATGCGTCTTTCCCCCGGTTTGCCAACGACTCATGAGATCATCCGGCACAAAGCCACCAAAGACCTCAGGCCTGCCTCCTGGAGGAAGAGCGACCCCTCCTATGGTAGCAATTGCCTTTCCATCTTTGTACTCGAGGGCTCCATCCGAGAATATGATCCAAGGCTTTTCCACAACATCGGCCACGAACTTTCGCGGTTTCCCGCTGCACAGTCTCCGCTTGAGAATGTCAAAGGACTGCAACTGGCAAGGGTCCAATTGCACACGCTGAGTGGAAGTGTGACCCAACTCCCTCAACTGAGCCAAGGCCAAACGGCCGGCCCTACCCCAAACCTGAGCGTCGGCATATTGCAGCTTGCCCAAGATACTCGGAAGCTGAGAAGGAACAACACTTCCAGCACCGAGAATATCATTCAAGGCAACTGTCAAATCATCCACGCGAGAAGGTTTGTTGGTCACTCGGACTTCGCCCTTCGGTGTGTCAGCTAAGTCCACAACCACCCCCAACACTTCGGCTTGCTTACTGAAAGGGTTCAGCTTATCTTGGGCATAAGTGAAACCGAACAAAGACAACAATCCCTTTGCTGCCACCATCGTTGAAGAAGTGTTCTTCTGGTGCGTGACGATAGGGAAATCATCAAAGTAGTTGCTCCACAAAATTCCTAACTGACACCCAGCAGCGTGTAGAAAGGCACTAACCCTAAGGAAGTTGTGAACACTGCCTGCAGCCCCAAAAGGGAGAGTCTTAGTTACAAAGCACCGCACATCATTGTGTTGATGGCTCCACAAAGACACAACAGCTTTCGCCTGGTCCTTAGGATGCAAAGGAAGCTGTTTGTAAGCAGACTTCAAATCAAGGGCCGTGATGAGAAATTCGGAGTCACAAGAAAGCCACTCTTGGTGCACGTGACCTACAAGCCGCTCTCCTGTGGACAAGGTGTAGCTAAACTCCCCTCCACTCTTATACAAACGAACCAATGCAAGTACGGCTCAGATCAAGTAATCAAGAGCATACAGCGTTACCCTCTCTGCACACGAAAAGGTGTCGTTTACCTGATTTTCTTTAAAATCATCTATGGGTCTCAACTTCTCTTTTTGCAAGATTCCGAATCTGCGAACGGGCATCCACTTATCACCAACCACGTCGCTGACCTGATTGGGGGTCAGTGGTCCCTGCAACCAGCGTTTGTTTGAAGCTTCTTCGACCGTCATCTCAAACAACTCACGCGAGAATTCGTCATCCCGTTGCGATCGGATTTTTCCTAACAAGGCCGGCCTCATGAAGTTAGTGTCCCTCATGAGTTGCTCTTCGCTCATGGAAGCAGCTTTCAAGCCTGTTTGAAAAAATGTTCGACTTAGTGGCAAACCCGGAAATTCGAAAACCCTGAGACATTTCATCAAAGACGGCAAGGTCTGGCCATGCCATGCTCTGAGCCACCTTCTTCATCAGCATGATTCGTTTTTGTGTGAGCAACACTCTGGCATCAGGGTTCATGGAGTTTTTCAAGGCAATTTCATCGCGCTGCAAATCCTTTGCCCAACTCGTCCACTCACTGAAGACACGTATTCTCTTCTTGACTAACTCTGCTGGAGATAAGGTCAAGTGATCGTACAGGCACTTCAACATGGAGTCAGGCATATGTACAGCCATGTCGAACGGGTGCCAAAGTGCAGTGGCCAACTTGACAAACTCTGCTTCAGTGTGATAAATGCCAAAAATGCACACGAACTTATCCCCCTTTTTCTCGGAACGCAAGAGCTTGCTACCTGCTGGCACGTGTTGGACTGCCTGGGCGACAAGGCTTTTGTCATTAACATGAGGGATGGTTCTTAGGAGCAAGGACACTACTTGTTTATACTCACCTACAAGCTGAGGCGTGGCCCTGCCTCTCGGTTGCCTATCAACCCTCGGCTGCTTGAGGCTCGCATCCTGGACTTGCCAACCTAATGATGCACATTCGCCGTCCAAAAGCTTGACGAGTTGTTCACACATGGGACCTGGGTACTGTGCTTCCTGGGCCGTGGCGAACCCTGCACTCCGATCAAATCCCCACGGGGCGTGGGTGTGTGGAGGAACCTCGTGGCACAACCTTTGCATGATGGAGATGGTTTTTCTGTTGCTCAAGAATGACGTTTTCTTATCCCTTGTACTTCCGAATGCACAGGCATGACAATGAGCAAAGAATCCATGTTCAACGGCATATGCAAAGTGTCGAAGTTCCCACAACATACTGTTGGTCGGATTTTCAATGACCCAAGCAACTTTGTGGCGATCCAAAAACATGACAAACTTTCCCATACGTTGTATAGCCGATTTGCTGTGTCTACTTTGGCTTTATCATTTGGACTCATATCTGGGACACCAAGTGGGTATGCACTGCTCCGCAAAGGCTGGGGTCCCGGCGACCCGTCCGGCATTGGTATCCCCCGTGCACGGCTGCACGTGCCGCACGGAGGAGCACAGTGAACACACACAACGTCACAAGAACAAATAATATTTTCCAAGACTTCCCATGCGTGGTCTTTTGAAAGGTCTAATTGAACTAATTGGCATTTAGGCTCATGACGATTACGTTTGTAATCCACAGGCATGACACTGTAGCCCTTGCGCTTCGCGAAGGAACTGAGGACCGCGCTCCCGGCACACAATTCGATGAAGATGACATGTTTCGAACTGGGTTCAAAAGCGGGGCCTGCACGACTTTCATTCTTGAATTCCAAGTTCGCGCCAGCCAACTCTGCTGCATCAGAGGGCATGGCACGAGCATCACTTGCACTGCATTTTGCCTTCTTTGAAGGCGAAGGTCCCGTCTTGGAGCATTAGCATCAATCACCTCATGCATATGGCCTAGTCACTCGGCCGGTCCATGCTTTTTCTTTGGACAATCAACAGCTGCACGCTTCTGCAACCTTTCACTGCGCACAAATGCAATCCCTTCGGGCACCTTTGGTTTGTCACCTGGAGCTCGCATCGCTTCAAGTTCGCATCAAAGCACAATCGATGCCCCTTTGGTGTGCTGGCAACACACCCCATGGCCAAAAGTTCACTTGGCACTCTTTGGAATCCCTTCCCCGCCCCCTTGCTCGGCATCTCTCCCTTCTGCCTCTTTGGCACTGGGCCACCTGCTGGCCCCGGAGGTCTGGTGGTGGTCACTGCGGGGGGGCGGGGCAAAGCGTGGTTGCAAAAGGTTCAAGAACTCAGGACTGGTAAAACATGCGTTGAACTGCAGATCACATGGCCTGCCTGCCGCCTTCACCTTGATCCCATCGCGGGTGAGCTCTGCGAGAAGAGTCCAAAATTTCTTGTCCGCCAACTCCAGCTGCTTCATGGACACCTTGGTACATCCGGTTGGGGGCTCTTCCATCCTGGCATTCAAGAGTTTCTCCGTAAGCTTGTCATGCAAGTGATAGTTCATGATATTCGCCTGGTCAAGTGCTAGCCCACGCCTCACCAAACAATATCGAATCTGCATCTCACTTGTCGTCGAACATGGTTCAACCGAGTCCTTTTTGCCGACCTTCAGGTTTCCAGCGGAGTCCAAACTAAGAGAAGGATCACGTTTTGCCCCTGTGGTGATTTCATGCTCCCTCGAAACACAGCTCTCCCAAGGCACATATGTCAGTCTGTCAGATTCATATGCTGCAATGCATTTGTCCACCAAAGAATCGCCAGGCTCATAGTTTCCTCTAAGGTCAAGACCGACTAAGCGACGCTGCTGGTCCTTCAAGCGCTGGGCCCTCTCAGCGGGAGCCAGTTTCTTCACTGTGGTGTCATCTGAGGATTCAACTTTGGACTTGATCTCGGCTGCAATGGTGGCGTACGCCTCACTAAAGAGCCTCCTGAAACAAGACATGTCTCGAGTTGAAGGATCAGCTCCAAGCACATTCTTGATCATAGTCACAAGGGGCCTCTCATCAGGCGACCCAGGCGAAAAATTGCACCCGAAAAAAAAGGTTCCCATCGTGGTCAATCCTTCATCTTTGAACTTATCATATTGGGCTGTAGTCAGCCCAAGCTCCAAAAATCGCTCTTTGAACACCGCTTCACTATCGGTGCACGACATGACACCTAAGGCCCGCGCATACGAACCCTCCTTGAGATGAAACCAGCGAGTGTGCATTCACTCTCACAGTGGGATAGCATAATCCCGCATATGGCGAACACATAAATCGCCATACTCAACAACATACATTTGACTTCTAGTCACAATGCCATGCCACTTTGGTTTGCCAAAGAAACTGTGTGAAAAGAAAAGAACGAACATCGATGAGGGCCAAACTTCCAGCACACATGTCGTGACTGCACTCTTTTTGCTCAACATACGACGATCTATAGGTCCTTGAAGCACATGCCACATGCGGGGTGAAAGAACTTTGGCCTAAATTCCATCACTTCATACCTACGACTCATCGTGCGCCCACACGCCAAATGCGATCCGCTCTCATCAGCGATCTTGTGAATGCACCTGGATGTGACATGCCTGACATAAACAAAATCGTCCTTCTCCGGCACCGTTGTCGTGCTCCACTGCCCTGCCACCTGCTCCACTGCAGCCTCTTCCGCGCAAAGATCTGCATCGTCCTCGTCTTCGGAACCGGCCTGCGAAGAGTCGTCCGTTGCATCATCAACCACCGCAGCTGTGTCCACATCCTTGTAAAGGATCCCGGACCGTGTCATGTCTGGTTCGAACCGGCAATCGGCAACATGGTCGAGCATATTGATTAGCAGCCTCAAAGGTGCTGACATAGCATCTCTGGAATACACTAGCAAGCTCTGATCCGATCCTTTTGAGTGATATCCCAGCATCCGCCTCGAGTCATAATCGATCCCAAATTTTGCAGCCCAGCTCAACAAAGTGCATTTGCAACTATGGGTAGCTATTCGAATCGAACCAATGGTCTCAGTATCTTTCAGCAATGATCTCAACCACTCACCCGCCGCCGTAACATGCACTGGCGCCTTCGACCACCCTCCTGAGGCAGGCGAGGGCATCACAGGATAAGCAGAAGATTTTCCATCACAAGAAAGACCCTGGGCTTCGCGAAGTTCATTCCATACAAGCAACCATGGAGGGTTGATCAAGGACTGAACTGGCACTGCAATAGGCAAGAATCGAACTTTGCGCTCCAGGCTGACACTGACCTTTGTGCGTTCTGCTGAGCGCTCCAAAAATCCGAGAACCCTGCCCTGCCTATGCACTACGTCGAGCTTCATGCCACTGATGCGTTGGGCGTCGGAGAATCTCAAACGTCCATACACCATGACCAAAAAGAATCCTGCCATGATCCTATCGAAAACAGGCCTTTTGGGGTCATGCACAACCCTCTCCAAGGTCTGCACCTGGTTGACCGTCAAGGGAGGACGTTGTCTCACTTTGGCCCTGTCTGCATAATGCAACCTAACGGCTCCTGCAATACGTTTCGACGAACACACTTCCTTGCCCCCCATCAAGCCGAGAATGTGCGTTGCGAAACTTACTGACAACATGAACGACCTAGGAAAGCTCGGTGCCTCATTCACACATGCCTTCACAAAATCGTACACTTGTGACTCTCGCAAAGGAAAACACTTGGCCTCACGCTCCGACCAAAATTTGACAAACCTTAACAAAGGACCTGCCCGATTGTGCAAAGTCGAAGAAGCCTTATCTCCTAATGCGTCTTTGATGGACTCGTTCAAACCTCCTCTGGCAAATTCCATGGGTCCGGACAAATAGTGAACTCTTGCAATCTCGAAAGCCATGGGGTTGACTGCAACTACAGACAACCATTTTCTATTTGCACAACGCCTCTCATAAGACAGCTGTTCAGTCATCGAGCGTTTATGAGCATTTTTTATGGCTTTGAATGCATAGCTTTCTGCAGTTTCTCCAGGCTCCGGGCAAGAGGACTCCGAGTTGAAACTCTGATCAAGAAATGGAGGCACAGGCGGCATAATGCCAGACATGCTCAACACACTGTTTTGATGTCTCTTCGCGAAATCAAACTGATCTTTAAGTTTCAAATCCCATGGCATATTACTTGCAGGTTTTGCCAAAGTCAGCCACGAATGTCTTGCATGCATAGTGGAATGCAATGAACTGGTTGGCTGATCTGCTGGTCGTTTATTATCATGAGGTCCTGACGCATCCTTCGAATCACTGCGAACTGCCAGCGGTTCATGTTCCTCCAGGCTCGGTGAACAAGAATGCAAATCCATCTCAAGCAAAGAAAGAAAACCCCCCAAAGAGCTTCAGGAGAATCACAATCTGCAGGCAAAGGATCACAATCAAAATGCCACTGAGTGCAATGAGGATCCGACCCAAACGAACGATCTGTCTGGAGCGAACGCGATTCTCACTCTCAATGTTGTAAAGCAACAAATGAACAGTGTCGTCGTCACTAGAGTCGGAATACATAGGATCAAAACTGCAAGATCCACCACACAAAGCACAGCAGCGAAAATGCAATGCCTGCGCAAAACCCTGCCCCCGTCAAGGCCCAATGCACCAGGCTCGGTCGAGCACTCAAGGCCGGGACCAGGTCGCCGGAAATGGAGGCCACGCGGGCTATCGGGCCGCCGCGCCGGCGCATCAAAAGTGCCCCACAATTGTGGTGGCACCCTCCCACCCACCCAGGCTTGAGAGCGGCGAGCGCGGAGCATATAATGCAAACCCTGATTGAGATCAGGCACAAGTGCATGACATACAAAGTGCATGGTTTGAAAGCACAAGTGCACACATCAACTCAAAAAGGGTTTTTGAAATTTTCGCATCATAATTTTTAACTCGGAATTTCCAAGTCGCGAAACAGCATCGTTAATCGCATATCAAGAAAGCTCGGGGCGCCTTGACACACAAGGCTGCTAGTACTATGTCATAATCCGCTATTAGACTTTGTCTAACTGCAAGC